CCCCAAAACCCCAAAACCCCAAAAATAAGATATTATTACAAAAAGAATGCTTAAATTTAGATTCTAATAAAATCCAAATTAATTTAATTAATCTCTTAACTCATCTTAATGGAAAAATAGAGATAAGGAAGTATTTTGAATATGCAGACTTTATTCAGATCTTCAGTCAATTTTGAGATGTTATACGCTAATGATTAAAAATCTGAGATGCTCGTATCAACATTCGAAATGAGAGAAAATTATTTTGACTTTGCTAAGCGAGTAAAACTGATAGACAAGAAGGATTCGATGAGAAGGAAGACAAAGTCTGAGGATCCAGACTCAAGACAATCTCTGGATGTTTTCAAGAAGGACTAATCTGAATAGCTTCACGATGAGTACAACGAACTAGTAGAGAGACACTAGTCCATGAAGCAATATAAGATGACTCTAAACGATTTTGAGGTTGTAAAGGTCTTAGGAAGAGGAGGATACGGCAAGGTCTTCCTTGTTAATCGGAAATCGGATAAGAAAGTATTTGCCATGAAAGTCATTAAGAAGGACAGAGTCAAAAACCCCAAATAGATCACAAGGACTAAGACTGAAAGATACATACTTGAGAAACTAGAACACCCGTTCTTAATGCACTTGAAATATGCATACACTACAAAGGACAAACTTTTCATGATAATCAATTACTGTCCTGGTGGAGAACTTTTTTACCATTTGCAACGAATGGGTACATTTAATGAGAAAATCACCTGATTCTATTCTGCCTGTATACTCCTTGGTATTCAGGAACTGCATAAGCACGATATTGTTTATTGAGAGTAAGTGAACTATCTGTCTTATCCAAATTTCTTACCAATATGAAATTAATCAATACTTTAGTTTGAAGCCAGAGAATATATTGATAGATAAGTATGGTTATATCGTTATTACAGACTTCGGGTTAAGTAAGGAACACGTAAGCGATAGGACAGATAGTTTCTGCGGTACTGCAGAGTACATGGCACCTGAAGTCATCCTGAAGAAACCATACACTAAATCTGTAGACTGGTGGAGTCTTGGTGCGCTTATGTATGAGATGCTTCACGGGTTGCCACCATTTTACACAAATAAGAGAGAGAAAACATTTGGTTTAATAGTTAGTAAGTATTAAAGCAAGATGATTTCATTGAAAATCTTATTAAAATCTTATTAAACTTTCCATAAATTATTTGACTTATTTTTGACCATAACTTTATAGATAATGATTTTGTATTCACGAATATATTAAGTCAAAATGCAATGGATCTAATAACAAGGCTTTTGACTAAGAATGCTGAGAAAAGAATCGGCAACAGCGACTTGGATGCAGAGGAAATCAAACAACATCCATTCTTCAATGGTATTGATTGGGACCTTCTATTCTAGAGAAGGATTTCTCCACCATTTGTCCCTGATCCTAAAAAGGCTGATCAGCTTAAGTATTTTTCTTAGGAGTTTACAGATATGGCTATTGAAAAAGATGATTAACTTAAATTCTCCTAGAATTCAATTGGTGGTACAGGAACTGGTGGAGGTGGAGCAGGGGAAGATAGCTCAAATCAAAGACAAAGTGAGTGGTCTGGCTTCAGCTACTAGGGTTCAGTCAATGACTCCTCTATGAAGATTAAAGTATCATAAATTTGATTTGGAAAGAAGTAGGTACTATAAGCAATTCAGACTTATCAGAATAAAGTATATACTATGATATAAAATATGAGAGTTAAATATTACTTAATTTATTTAAATGCTTTCTTTATTCTCTCTCTACTATATAATGGTGGGGTTTTGGGGTTTTGGGG